TGAACATGGGGGGAGTGAACATGGGGGGAGTGAACACAGAGGAGAGTGAACATAGAGGGGAGTGAACAAAGAGGGAAGTGAACATGGGCGGAGTGAACGTGGAGGGGAGTGAACAAGGAGGGGAGTGAATGTGGAGGGAAGTGAACGTGGAGGGGAGTGAACAAGGAGCAGAGTGAACATAGTGTTTTATTCCTGCTCTGTGTCTGTTGCAGGCGGGACAAACTGCTGGTGGACCAATCCATCTCCTCCATGTCTGTGAGTGACAGCTGGTAGAAAAGCTGCCACTATTCTGCTGACGTTCTGCAGAATTTCCTCCTCTGAGCTCAGAAGAAGCTGGAGCTGCACATGTGAACGCTGTGATTACTGATGCTGCTGCTGTCTGTGGGCATGAAGGCTTCAACCATCTGAGGCCACGCCCACTTTCCTCTTGATGACTGGCGTGAGGAGCTGCGGTCGGGACCTCCAGTCGTCTCTTGGCGGAGTCAAATGCTGCATCAATACATCATCTGAGAGCAGCAGAGTAAGGAGCAGCTCTCACCAGAGGAAGAAGAAACGCTGCAGGCCTTCAAACTCAGCACAGCCTCACTATAGTGATAAATGACACATGCTAGCTCCATGTTACTGTGTTTGCAGCTAAGTGAAATTGTCATTATCCACCTTGTTAGAGGCAGGAGGCTGTGTTAAAGGCAGATCAATCAATCTAATAATAAACTCTCACCAGAGGAAAAAGAAGTGCTGCCTTGGTGGGGAGGGAAATTTCAGGAGGTAGATTTTCACCAAACTATTGTTCAGTCACTTCAGTTTTAGACTCACCCATCAGATTCAATTAGCATCATTTAATATAACATAGTTTTGATCGCCAGGAATGATGCTAACATGTTTCCCTGAAAGGAAAAGCGTTCCAGCCTGTTTTTGGTGAACTTTACTTGTTGTTAGGCCAGCATCAGAAGAGATATGAATAAAAACGTGGTGCTGGTGCCTTGCAGCAAGACGTTTCTGAGTTCGATTCCCAGCTTCTCATGGAATTAGCATGTTCTCCCTGTGCATGAGTGGGTTCTCTCTGGGTACTCTGGCTTCCCTCCACAGTCCAAGAACAGAACTGTTCTGGTTCCACCTGTCTGTAATGATTTAGTCTCCCCAGTTGCCGCTTTGCTTCTAGAAAGGGTCGGGGTGACCGTGGCGTCAGATACAGAGGTTTGCTCTGCAAGCAGAAGGTTTTCAGTCTTCAGCTTTCAGTGTCTTTCTGTCCTTGGCAAAGACACTTTGGCCGCTGTGTTCAGCAGCCTCGCTTCTGTCAGCGAGCCCCAGGGCCGCCGTGGTCACAGTGTAACTCACCACCATCAGTGAATGACTGAAGCACTTTGGTCCAAAGGTCTCTGAAGGTTCTCAGTCATCCAGGCCATGGTCAAGACTGAAGAGGTTCAGTCTAACCAACTGGACGGGAAGTTTTCTAGAAGATGTTTCTCCTCTCATCCAAGAAGCTTCAGTTCTAACTAGTGGTGGAAGCCCTGAGATTAATGCACCGTCCTCCCATCACTACTTAGAACTGGAGAAGCCTTTTGGATGAGAGGAGAAACATCTTCTAGAAAACTTTACTTTCAGTTGTCTAAACTGAACTCTTTCAGGTTTGGCCCAAAGGGCTAAATAAGTACAGAGCATTTAGCTTCAGTCAGCAGGTCTGATGGTGTCAGAGTCCTGAAGGCCTGAGCAGAGCAGCTCTGTGGGGTTCCTCCTTAGTCCGACCCTGGAGACAGTTCCAGGGATGTGGAAGACCTCCTGCCTCCTTCCAGGACCAAAGACGACTCCTGTTGCCCTGACAACCACATCACAAAGGTCCTAGAGAGACTTCTATTGGTTCACCTCAGCAAGCAAACCAGCAGCTATCAGGATCCCCTGCAGTTTGCTTATCGCCATGGAGATGGAGTTGATGATGTCATCATCCACCTGCTTCAACAAACCCAGTGTCATTTAGACCAGCAGGCAGCACTGTGAGGATCGTGGTCTTTGATTTCTCCAGATTCAGACTGACTGACTGTGAGAGAATCTCCAGCAGAGTCAGGTGGAGGCATCAACAACCACCTGGATCAAAGACCACCTGACAGACAGACCACAGGTTGTTAGACTGAAGGCTCAGCTGGCTGATCCAGCAGCAGAGGAGCACCACAGGGGACGGTACTCTCTCCATTGTTCACCTCTGACCTCCAGGACCAGACAGAGTCCTGCAGAAATACTGGATGACTCTGCAGTCATTGGGAGCATCAAAGATGGAGCAGAAGCTGAGGGCAGAGAGCTGGTGAAGTGGGCGGGACTAAAACTGTGTCTAATTTAGAACTACATTTCCCATGTTCCAAAGCCTAAAAAGGTCCTAAGGTTCCCAAAAAGGAGGCGATGCTAACTCCTGTCAGGAAAGACTGATTTCTAGTTGCTAAACATTCCGGACTTCAATATGTCAGGACTCCTGTTTTTGTGTTTGTCTCCCTTCATCCACCAGGAGGCGCCAGGTTCTGGTCCGCCTCCTCACACACCTGCTTAGTGGTGGGTATTGCCAAAGAAGTCACGATTCGATTCGAATCACGATTCACAGGCCACGATGCGATTCTATCACAATGCATCACAATACTTGAATTATTGTGATGCATTGCAATATTTTCTCCTCCATGTTTTGTTTTTGAATGACTCGGCGCAGTATCCCCCGGCCAGAAATGTTTCTGACACAAGGCAGCGTGCGTCAACACATCCACAGCGACATCTACTATGCTGGAAATTGTATTACACTTGTTTTTGGCTGATGATCGCCAACCATTCATGCAATTTTATTTATTTATTTTTTAGAATTAATAATCGATACTTGGCGTCAAGAATCGATGCAGTAGATCACGAAAATTAGAATCACGATGCATCATCGTGACGATTATTTTGCACACCCCTACACCTGCTGATGGTTTCCTCGTTAACGGAGCGTTCTTAAGCTGCTGACTGCCACTACTCCGACGCCAGAGTGTTTGCCAGTTTAGGGTACTCTAGCCAAGCTGAGTTTTGCTGAGTCAAGCTGAGCCTTTGGTCAACCTGAGTTTAACATTGTTTTTGTCTTTGCCTCTCGGCAGGAAGTCATCCTGCTAACTGGATCTCTAGGACCTTCTCTCCCTGGAAGGATCAACTGAGCTTCAAACTGAGCTGGGGTTCAAACAGGAGGTTTGGATCCACTTTCCCCAAGATCGTTTGAGCTTCTCACTGAGAAAGGGATTATTCTCCACAACGACCCGTTCAAGTACCGCAGGAAAATCTGAGTGGCAGTCAGTTTCTCCGTTCACCTACAAACAACCGCATTCTGGGTAAACCCTGTTCCGCCCTCCACCGAATCAGACAAACACTGGAACTACAGCACATAGACAGAAGTCAAGAATTCAACAACTTCTCTGGAAACGTGAGTCGGCAACCAAATCCTCTTCTCCAAGTTCACGAGTCAAATTCCCCACTGAGCCTGAACTAACCGCTGTGTCTTCCCCTCACTTTACAGTTCCGGTTGAGGAGTGTTCTGGGCAACACTTCTCCCTCCGTTTAACCTCTTCAATAAAACCCGTTAAACCTTTCCCTTGGTCTCTCTGTTCGGTTTTCTGCATTTTGGGTCTGAACTTTGTAACATCATGACACAGTAATGATATAAAAACATTTGAACCTTCAGTCGGAGCAGAACGGAGGAAAGAGCAGCAGAGGAACCAGAGGAACCTTTAAATACTCCTCTCTCTTCCAAATAATGACATATTCTAGGAGAAGAGTGACCTGTGGACTGATCCAAGGGATTCCCAGTGACCAGATGTCTCCCATTTAAACTGACTGGAGTGTTTTTACCTTTCTGCTATAAACTGCTAACTAACTGTTCTACAGGCTCAGCAGGTTTATGCAGAAATACCAAATAGTTGGAGTATAAACACGGCATTCACAGGTCTTCATGGGGAATAGCTCAGATTTAGCCAACAGTATAAAACATTAGAATGAGCATAAATCTTTCTGCATGCCGTGATATTCAGCCGTATAAACTACTGCCATCCAACATGGTCTCACACTTCAGAGGCCGTTCTGAAATCACTGCAGTCTCTCCAGGAAAACTCAGAGTTCCTGACAAAAAGCTTTTATTTCATCATTATTGGAACATTTTAAGTACGTACAACATTTCAGACTTTGATATTTTCTGGATGCCTGTTTTGTTTTTTAAGTTTTAAAGGGACTTGCTCCTCTAACAGATTTTATAAGCAACCAAAAACCCATCAGTAGAATAAACAGCAGGGCTATAACCAGAGGAAGCTGTGATGTTCAGCGGCGTTGGACCAAATTTCACCAAATGGTTGCATCCATCAGAGGAGCCCAGTCATGGACCAGTCTGCCAGCTCATGTTTGGGGCAGAAGCTTTAAAACCTCCTTGAAATATTGGCTGAAAACTAATCAGACATGAATTGATCTGTTTACCTCATTTTATGGTGATTTTTGGCATCTTAGTGTCGTCTCTGTTCCTCCCATTGTGTCTGTTTAATGTTGGCTGTTCTAACCTGCCGTAGGACAGCAGATGCAGATTAGCTGATGCTAATCCTGGCAGATTTACATTGATGCTTTAAGCTGACATGTTGATAAATGTGCATTTCTTTGATTTAAATGAATAAATGAAAGGTAGAGATTTATTAAAAGCTCAATCAGATCTGATTTGTTTATTCATATTTCCAGCTACAGGAAACCCCCCCCCCAAAAAAAGAGCCTTTTTCCCAGAAGGAAACACGTCTCCCCCTCCTGCAGGACGAAGTGCATCATGGATGGGCGACACATCAGCTGCTGGGTTTCTGTTAGAGTCTGACGAAAGTAGCAGTGGATCCAGAAATCCTCCAATAACCACCTGATGCCATTCAGCACACCTGTACCCAGCTCTGACCATCATCTGCATTCTCCCTCCCTGCGTCGCCGCTGGTTTCCAGCAGCTGCCTGGTGTTCTCAGTGGAAAAGTGAAATCTTACCGGTGTTCAGGTCTTTATACTCCAGGGACGCGTGTTGGTTCTGGTGCACCCATTCCCCGTTGCATTTAAAGAAGATCTGTAAGGCAGGCGTGGCGCGGCAGCGCAGCTTGATGGGGTTGCTTTTAACGATATAAGCATCTTCTGGCTCCTGGATGAAGAGCGGCAAAGTGCCCTGCACTGAGGGCGGCGCGTCCGGCTGCCCCGCTGGACCCCCTGCAAACACAAAACCTTCATTAAGGCTGAAATAAGGAACAATGACAAACACAGAGAAGGAGTTTAGCAATGAAAAACAGTCTCCCTCCCTTTGCCAACAGGAGTTTATAGAAAGTGCTAGAAATGGCAAAGGAAGCTGAAATGACAGCTTTCTATGTTCATCCAGATAGAGCACACTCAGCATAATGCAGCCTCTCCTCTGCTTCTGGCAGACCTGTTCCCCTCACAGCAATTAGCAGATGGATGAAATCAGAAAGGAACCAGTGGAGATGAATGAGGAGGAGGCTGATGAGCCAAACTGTTGCTGTGGAGTCTGAATACATCTGATCTCAGCCTGGATTCTGATCCAAAGGAAAAGCGGCTTCATGCCATCAGCAGCAGAACTCCGTTCCTTCCACCTTCCTTTTATTCTTTCAAACCCACTAAAGCTCATCCCAGCTTCCACTATTGTTCATGGTGGCAGCTCATGCATGGAAGCAGAGATCTGAAAGGTAGATCTGCAGACTGAGTATTTTCTTCTCCATCTGGTAGCCAAGTGTTTTCCTTCCACAGCGTCCTGTTCCTCCTTCCTCCGGGGCAGAGTGCTCGCTGCGTTCAGGAACAATGAGGCCCAGAACATCTGTGCAGCTGCCATCCCCGGGATCCTTCTAAGAACAGCCGCCTGAACGCATCAAGGCGGCTCCAGTGGAGCTATTCAGTGCTGCAAAAAGCCAAGGAAAGCCATTACTCCCCCTAACTTCCTCCCCATCACATCCAGCTCTGTCCTCCACTATCAGATCTGACCTCTCCACAGCTCCCATCAATGGCTGCCTTCTCACTGAGTCGATCAATGGATGCAGGAGGGGCACGCACACAGGAAATCAGATAAACACAGGATTATTATCACTGCAGAAACATCTAGAAATAAATAAATATTTCCTAAGTAAATTTATTGTTACTATGAGCAGGTAAATAAGATGATTATTTTTAAGATAATTAGATAATATGGACTTGAAATAACACAATGCAATTGTGAAAACTAGCAGCAGTTCAGCAGACATCTTATTTTTTTCAATCTAATCTATGCAGCTGAATCTCAATGAGACTCGAGGTTTGAATCTAAAGAATCACCTGTTTACACACATAAAAGAAAAATGTTCAAAGATAGAATAGTAATCAATAATCATTTAACTCGTTAGCTGAAATAAATGTCAACCGAACTGAAGAGGACATCCAACGCTGCTTTCTCCAGAGTTCAGATCAGTTTAGCTGCATCACTTCAGGTCCAGCTTAGTTTGATCAGAGTAGATGGATCATTTCAAAGAACGGGGCTGAGGTTGCTTTAGGCCCCAAAAGCAGCAATAAGTTTTGTTTATGTGTTTATTTAATAAAAAACTGAGGCAGACATCCAGAAATGCAAAATACAAAGAACCATAAAACATCAGGGGAAACTAACATGGGGGGCCAGAGACGAGGAAGCAACCAACAACAACCAGGAAGCAGCACTGAGTGACTGCAGAGGTGGAGTATATAAGGGGAACAGAACAAAGGATGGACTAATGAGCTGAATATGGAGCAGGTGTGAGTGGAACTAACTAGAAGGAAGCCAAGGTGAAAGGAAACAAACACAAGGGGGCAGCAGAGAGCAACTAAAGACTGATTGAATATAATAATAACTGAAAACTAAAAAAAGTCCAAAAAGGGGAGAACCATGACAAAGAAATGGATCAAAGGGACGGAATAAGGTCAAAGGAAAGCTGTATTGGATGAAAAAGAGGAAAACTCACTTTAAAAGACTGTAAACAAGTATTAGGGTTATATGTTATCATCAATGTGGGCTAGAAAGACGGATCAGACACCGAGTTATTCCTGCTAAATGCCAACTAAAGTGCTGGGCCTGATAGAGAGCCTTGAGGTTCGCCTCCTGGGACATTAAGATAACAAGAGGAATAATCTTGGACTTCAACACGCTGCGTTTGACCAAAACCCTATGGAAGAAAAACAGTCTCATTGGAATGTGCCTTTGTACACAGAATGTCAAATATTGAATTTTTTAGAACCGAATTTTTATCACTAAATTTTATCTGTTAAAAATTGGCCTGCAAAACATTCAGCTGCAAATGTGTCGACCTTTTGGTGAACTGAAGCCAAAGCAACCTACACTCGAAGCAGCGGAGCAGCTTCTAGCCAATGAAATTTGGCCAGAAGCTGCTTTTTTTGGGCGTAGCTTTGATCGCGGCTAAATGAAGCTGAATGAGGAGTTTTTCTTCTTAAATGGATCTGATGAGAAAACGTCCGGTAGCTACTAATAGACGGCCATTAGAGTTTTCATCTAATCAGACTTGGTAAAATAACTGATCCGATCACAGCTAGTGCGGCACCCCCGTCTGCCAAGGCTCTTGGTTTGATCCAGAAGAACCATTTTTTTCTTACCAGATGAGCTGATTTCATTGGCTAGAAGCTGCTCGACTGAACGAGTGTAGATCGCTTTGGCTTCAGTTCACCAAACAGTCTCACATTTGCAGTCACATGTTTGCTGCTGAATTTTCACCAGATAAAAATCCAGTGTGAGGAATTTAAAGTGTAAAAAACTTCAGTGTTTAAAATACAGTGTTAAACAAATTAATTGCATAAAATTCAATGTGGAAAAAAAGGCAGATTCTGAATGAGTTTTTCTTCCATTAGATGGTTTGAAAAGCAGCCAATAACTCGGCCCATCCTGATTTATTCAGTTTAGCTAAAGAAGGAAAGAAATGGAGGTGGAGTTCAGATCAGAGCAACAAGTCTGTTCTTAAAGGCTGGTGGAGATCCAAACAGCTACTGCTGATGATGTCATTAGAAAGTAACGATCACCTGAGGAGCAGGTGAGCTCTGCCTCACATCACAGCAGATGATTCGCTGCCTGTGACACCAGCCTCCAACCGTTCACATTTCAGTTTTTATTACCTGCTTCGCCGCCATAAATGTTTCTACCTACAGAAAAAACAAGCAGTGGTGTTGCTGAATAATTGCTGCTATTTAGTTTAATGCAATTCAGAAAAAGAATGCGCCTGAAATTGACTTTAAATAAGCGAGTGAAGAGGAAGGCTGAAGACTTGAGAAGCTGATTACAGTAAATTTCCTGTTTTTATTGTTTCCTTCAGTCCATCAGGGAAAGGAGAGAGAGGAGAGTCTGATTAGGATCCCTGATGTCAGAGTTTCATATTCAATGAAAGCTGGAGCTCAGAGGCTGCATGAAAGAAAAGCAAATAACCAGCCAGAAATAACAGGATAAAATGACTTTCAGTTGACATATATTAATCTGGGTTTGGTTTTAGGACCTACTCCTGTTTTACCTTTTCTTTGTCTGCAAAGCTCCAGTCGCCGACTCTAAGCCACACTAAAGGATCCTGCAGAACTTCACCTCCACATATTCTTCCAAGCTGCAAACTTTAAAGAGTTTAATTTGCTTTTAAGGGATATAGAGAAGTGGATAATTGAAATAAAGACAAATGAAAGAAGATTCTCTGAAAGTGGGAGTTTTATATGCAGCCGCTGCCCTGATCCACCTTCTACAATCACCTCCTGCTGCGGTTTCTGCTGCAGGTATTTTAGCCTCTTTAAATCCAGACATTCATCATTTCTGCCAATCAGACTGGATGAAGCTCTGAATGCTTAGGGCTGGTTGCTGCTAGCAGGAGAATCGCTGCCCTAATCCCAAATATTCCTAATCTACAGCTTCCTGGCACCTCTGCCCAGTTTATCCGTCTCTGCAGAAGCCAAGTATCTCCACAGCATGCTGCAGCCACCACCATGTTGAACCGTGAGGACAGTGTGTTCATAGCATTTTGAACAGGTGGTGCTGTGAAATTATTTTTGCTGTTTTTTAGTTATTTTTGGACAAAAGACCTATGAGCCTTTAGGCCTATTTAAAATACAATAAATACATAGATTGAGGAACGACTTTATTGTCATAAACACTTCAGAGCACCAACCAGGGTCTGTGACATCATCAGTTCTCAGGTAAATATCTGCGCTATTAATGAAACTTCACATTAACACTATAACAGCGTAGATTAGGTCAGCTGGCAGGAACCTGAGTCATTGTGTTTACGTCACACGTGACTCCATTAGCTCCAAAATCCATTTATGCAAACCACAAGGAAATAATGATAATATTATACCTATTAAACGTTATTGAACGGTTCTCCATTATGCAAAGAACACAGGATCAAAATAATTCTCTAAAATATGATGGTTACGTTAAACTGCATGAATAGATCGGTGGGGGGGCATGCTCTGACTCTCAGCTACAGGCAGGTTGCCATGGTTACAGGCTAGGTTAGGGGGGCTGGCATCAGAGGAGGGCGGACAGTCTCCTCGCCCCAGCTGCTCTCCGTTGCCGTGGTTACGGTACTAGCGTTCTTCACAGGTGGTGGTTTTCCAAGAAAATCTGAAATGCGTTTCTGTCACTAGACTAAATTTATTAGGCCGCTGCAGCGAGCGGGAGACTTCGTTACTTGGCGACCGCTAGCTAGCTTTATGTTGCCATGACAACATAACTTCTGTGTAATTGTGTTGATTAGGCCTCAATATAGTTCATTTAAAATCCAACGTAATAGTAAAATAAAAAAGCCAAAATACTTTGCACAAATTTATAAATTATGCTAAGAAAATCTCCTTCTCGCCACTAGGGGGTGCTGCAGCAGCCCCACTTCCCACGCCCATGGTTCTACCCTACAGAAAGATTGTCTATTAACCAGCAACAGCCAGAGATTCAACGATGACATCAGCTAAATACTAAAAGCAATCCTTTAGCTTCATCTAAGTTTTGCTTCATTAATAAACAGAACATTTACTGACTGCTGGATGAGCAGAATGATGGAAACACCTTCACCTATGGAGTGAGCAGCAGGTCGTTAGGTTAAAAAAGTTGATTTGATGCTGAAAATGAGTCATTTCTCAGGAGCATAACGGCTCTTTGACATCTGGGCGTCAGACGCTGGTCGCTCTGAAACCTTTAGGATTACCTGATCATCCCA